TTTTTGCATTTGAATTATTAAAATAAATCTATTTACCTATATAATATGAAATATATTTTTTACATATAGGATTTGGGCGAAATATCTTCTTCCAAAAGTGGTTGAAAATCGTACTTACATGGGGGTCCGCTACGTATTCTTTACTTTTGGCACACACAGCTGGTTAATGAAGGAAACATGGACCAAACAAGTATTGGCGCCAAATTTCTAAGAGGCGTCACTAGCGCTGCAGCGTTTTCAGCTGATCTCCGAGCTTCGAGCCGTGCTTGAAACAAAAAACCTGTTGCAACTCAGCCTTGGAAGGGTCCACGCTGGAATCTGGCAATGTTTGCTAGCGCGGATCTAGCGCAGTCCTAGCGCGCGGCTAGCGCATTTTTCAGCCAGCCACTTTTCAAAAACCTGACGAGGTTCTGAACATGCCCTGAGGCAAATACTAGCGTCACTAGCGCAAGTCTACCGCAAACCTAGCGCCCACCTGCAGAATAGGTTTAGCTGGGGGCCCGCTACATAATCAATCGAAAAACAACATCATAAGCTACTTTCGACCCCTTTATCTATTTTTTTTGATTATAGACTTTTGGCCGGACTCCATATATATATATACCAATAATATCTTTTTGTCAACATTACACCCGAGCGAATATATATAATTCGCGCAAGTCGGATGCAATATCTACCCGTTTTATGGATCACTGGATTTCCCGTCAATTGGATTGATGATATGATTCCTCTTTTATATCCTTCTATATTTTCTCAGAAGGGAATTCCAAATCTGTATACAGTCGTGTGAAAGGGCCCAAGCAATCTCACGTGTTTTCACTGTGTTGTTGGGCATATTGATTATACTACACAAGGCACGGGTTCTGGTGGCTCCGGTTCCGGCGGTTTCGGTGGATCCGGGGGTGGGGTCGGATCCAAAGTGGTCCTCCCACAAAAGATGGGGGGCATCACGGCTTTGTCTGGACAGCAATGGTGGCAAAAGCACAAGCCCATGTAACTCCCCAAGGTTGGGACTAGCCAAATAAGAACATGCACGCCCGGTGTTCCAAAACACTCTTCGTAGCAGTTGGAGTGCCCAGCGTAGCCACAGAGTGGCTCAAGAATGGCAGCTGTCAGGGTCCCTGCACCAGCCACGAAGGAAAAGAAGGCTTTCATGCAGTACTCCTGGCCAGCTTGATGGCTCTATTGAACGCAACAAGTGAGAGCTTAGAGAGCCATATGCGAAGAGATCATAAGAGATCAACACATGGAAGGCTTGCCGAGATTCAACCCGGCAATTGATATTTTATCACAGCTTGGTACAACCCTTTTGGGAAGAATCATCCAATGATTGAAAAAGTCCAAAGTGCCGGCACTTCACCATGCCATGACTCCTCACCCAGTCGACCTGGTCATGTTCAGAATCTGCTGACCCTGTGGCCGTGGGTCACAAGTTCTCCAATCAAATTTGATGTCAACATCGGTGTCATTACACCAACCGCAATGGATTTTGACTGCAAGCAGGGACTTAGGAACCTGTGCCAAAGGTAGTGGATATTTGACTCCACAAGTGCCTTCATAGCACCACCTAGGTATACCACCTACATACCTTATACCCAGGTGAGTTTAGAACTAGCCGTATTCTCTGCAGACTAACCGCATCATGTCCTGGTCTTCTACCTTCACAAAGTGGTGGGCTACAGCCTGGGTTGGACAGGGACCGCGGAACGACCAAACGGTGGGTCACAACCCCTAAGACCTTGGTTCACCTACCGTCGTGTCGGTCGTTTGCCTGCTCCATGGTGGACTGGTCGGGCGGGTTTTGACACCCAAGTCTGGCAGTCGGAGAGCATATCAGTCCCAAAAGGGCCTAGTCTATAGCTCAGGGGTGAGGAGCAATATAATTTACGAGCCATGTAGGCTCAACATCTTAATTTATTAAACCGGTAAAGTGCTGATTGCTGCTTGGAAACACAAACTGGTTCAAACCCCGCATGTAACCCTGGAAAGCAGGAAAACCCAATAGCTTTTGGATGTTTTGGTCCCTCAATTTCCACAAACGACATCTGAGTAAGGCGGAATCGTCGCGTTCTCGGCAGAATCTTTATCTCAAGCAGCCCATCCCATAGTACACGACCACGAGAGCATCGTCGCAAAGAACATGATGCCCTGCAGGTCTTCCCCCAATTTCGCCGCCGAGGCTGCCAGCGACAGGCCAACCACAAAGATGGTCGACACCCACATGACATTGCCTTGGCTGAAACCCATCCGGATTGACTGGGGCTGTATTACGGACCACAATCGCTGCCGATGAACCACCCAAACACCTTTGTGGTGATAGTCTTGGTATGTCTGAATCCCAACGAAGCTGTAAACACCGGGATATCCCAACAAGGGTTCACTTCAATCGTTTGGGCCGCGTGCTTTGTTTCTTCAATCAACAGTCGGGCTAGAGATTTTTCACACACACACTTAGCTCTTTATTGTTCAACATCCTCCGTGGTGAGAGATTTTATAGTCAAATTATATCAAATTATAGTCATTTTATAGAGGACCAAGCGCGGAGGATTGTTTAACACTGGAATTGGACATTCTGATGGCAGAGGCAGGTTTCGCCCTCAAACTTGCTGTCGTCATTTGGTGTAACACTTCCGATGGCTGACCGGAGAAATGAACGATTACGTGACACGTGTGCAAAGGTGACAGTGAGTGGATGGCAGAAATTCCCACTATGCTCTGCAGCCCCTTAGCCGCAGCTGCTCTCTGTTTGAAGGATTAAGATTTGGACCAGTCTTGATAGCCGCCAAACAACATCATAAATCTCCATCTCCATTGCGCTTCTATGCCCTTCTAATACCAAATGGGTGGAGACAATCAGGGAAGATCCCAGCCAGAGAGAGAGAGACTTTGGTCAACTGCCTTCCTCTGCTGGCATGTCTAAGCAAAGGGGAAAATCGTCAACACCAGGCATGTGGCATGATCCCGCCTTTGGGGTTTTGCAACACTCAGTCAGCTGGTCGACGACCTGAAGAAAGTATGCTATTGACTATTGACCCATCCGACCTCTGCCCAGGCTCGGGCCCCTTTCTGGAGCAAATCGCCTTCTAAAACACAACAGCAGTTCAGCAGCAAGAAAGCCTAGGCTGGCCATGCATGGCTCTGACGACGGACGCCAAACAGGTACTTGTAACCAGGCCCTACTTTTTGCTTGCACTTTTGAGGTCTTTCGAATCATCCGTGACCTACGAACAAAAGGTAGCTAGAAACTCAAGGGTTTCGGGGTTCAGGGTCAAACACCCTCTTGCAAAGGGTTACAGTAGTACATCATACAAACATCAACACATTAACATCATTAACTCTCTTGCAATAGACTGCCAAAGCAGGAACGATGTATGATTCAACTCAACACATGATGCAAAATTCTCGGCCGACGTTGCTTGACTGCTTTGGGGCCAGCCTTTCACCTAATATGGGCCCTTGCTTCTTACACCCATGCTTTTCTATGTTTTGTTTGCATCTATATAAATGAATGATGCAGTGTGCGCGTGTGGCGTACTTAGATATTTATTTTAGAACACCGATGACTACTGTGTTTTTAAAACTTTTGGTACATCGATCATTTTTGGTCTGTATTTTGTTCCCAGGGCAACGAACACACTCGAGTTATCAAGAAGCTGTTGGGCAAAGGGGAGGGTGTGTGGGGGAGCGGGGACAAAATAAGGGACTTGGACATTGTAGTAGTTCCAGTAGTTGTTCTCCACCTGCCAGGTGAGGGTCTTCAGATTTTGACAACTTTTCACCCTCAGAGTGGGGATCACTCGAAGTAAAGCAATTTCAATTTTCAAGTTTTTGGAATCCCAACCCTTGCAAAACCTGTCGCCCTATTTTTGGAGCCCATGAAGCCCTCTCAAATTGCCAAGTGTTGAAACGCACCGGTTGGAGCAAATCCTTCCAACATATCAAGCTGACCATCAAAGAAGTTCCAGCATATTGAGACATTACTGTGCTGCCAGTAGTAAGTAGGTATATTACTGTGCTGCCGGTAGTAAGTAGGTACCGAGTACATAATAAACTTCATAGAGTCATAGAGATCGTCAAGGCTCACTCTGCATTCCAAGGACCTTTTCGAAACCCAAGGACCATAGAGCAGTGGGTGTCCCACAGCTTTCCAGACCCAATACTTTGGGAGATCATCTCTTTCTCCATCCATTTCACCACCACAGCGCGTCTTATGGTGGACGTGTTGCTGTCTTTTTCCAAGGGACCCAGGACAAGGTGATGAGCACTTTGGCCACCTTGGTAGCCCAGTTCTCTCCAGCCACCAGGAAGTCACCAGCAAGGCCCATGAGGATCCAGCCCAAGGCGCTCAAAATGAAAAAGAGCAGGAACAAAGTGTCCTCGGGGTGAAGCACGCCAAGGAGGACCAGTTGGACGGCATTTTGGATGTTTTTGTTTGTATTTGTTTCTCTAGCCTCAATAGTTTGGGATCGTTTTGCGGCAAGTTTCTTCAAAGCGCCCACAGCAATGGATGTCGAAACATCTCACTTGGACTTCTACACCGCTCAAGTCGTCTTGGTTGTGGTCTTTGTTGGTTTTATTTGTTAGAGACCGCTCGATAGGTCATGAATTGACTGTTCAAACTAATCTCGGCGTAGTTATCTAAACCCTAGTCACCCGTTGACTGAATTACATAGAAACAGAAACACAACAAACGTATAGTTTCAAGATGTTTCAAGGACAGCATTTTCATGCATTTTCCATAAGCACTTTCAGAATGTTGGAATGTAAACACCTGCTCAATCGGCGAATAGGTTGTCCAATTCTAGTCTGAATGTGGCTCTTCTGCTCTATATAACCTTCCCAATTTTCTTAAGCTGGTTCGAACCAAAACAAACCCTTTCGTGTTCTATTACTAGAGCGTAATTATAGGGATGAATTGGGATTCACGATCCGTCAATTCACGAGTAATTTTGGATCAGACTTTGAGTTTTTCCTTATAAACCCATTGAACCCCCATATTCTTGGGTCTGCCAAGAGTCTGACAAGAGATTCTGTCTCACAAGCTTGTACAAGAGGAAGATTGCCTGAAAACGGAGACGGGCTGATTCGGAGGAGCCCTTCAAGTCTCAAAGCATCCAATTCTATTGGGGGCAAGCATTGGTCAAGTATCAATATTCAAAATCTATATGACTGGGCCTTTGGATGGTACCCTATTTTGTACACTCACTTGTGGGCACGTCTCTTCATCCACTCAATACACGTGGTATGCAAGCTATCTACACCTACTTTGTGAACTTTCTTCCTTTCCTTTGTGATTGTTCCTTTGGTAAACTTTCTACACCTCACTTTCCCTGTATATTTTCGAGGGTAATCAAGCAAATTTCAGTACTGACAGCCATTCCCAGCCAAACATGTCCAAAGGGTCTCAGGAGCATCCTCAAGCCAAGACATAAACAGGATTTCATTCACCACAGCCAACCCTTTTCACGATGAACGATCAGTGCGCCCTCGGAAGCGAAGAAGCACCCAAATGGAGTCTTTCACAGTCTTCAACATATACCCAACTAGTGGTTCAGGAGTGAACCCTCCAACCAATCCCACCCATCGGACCTCTATATGCGATATGCTATAGTGACCAACATATCTTCAGAAGCCTCCTTTCTATCTCTCTATGTCAATGTAGGACGGTGAAACAAACTGCAAGTACAGTACGTTGGCAAAATCTGGTGGACTTGCCACCCGATGGCTGAGCCAATTCTTCGTGCCATCCCGTGCCCTCTTCACCTCCCAGAAAAGCTGAGCCAATCCAAGATGCCATGAGGAACATTGACCCACCTGCAATGTAAAGGCAATCCACCGTGGTGCGGTGCGCGCCGAGGGTTGTCCTCGGATCCAAGATCACTGCTGTACCTGACAGCACCACTCCGCGGATGAGGATTCGATGGCCGGCCGAGGTTAAAATGACCGCAAACCATTCTGATCCTTCTTGGTTTTTGGAGTAGATCAAGCAAACTAATCTGTTTGCATCCTGAAGGTTTGTGTTAAAACAAGTAGGGTTAAACAAGTATCATCACAAGCAGCAGGGCACTTGCGCCCAGCTTCAGCTCACACTCCACACTCATGATTTGTGGCGTGGAACCAGGCAAGTCTTCTGAAGCTACGCGGGCAGGCAACTGCCCCAGTACGGACTGTGTCTAGAATCTCCTGTTTTGTTCTTTCGGATGGTGAGGGAATCTGCTCCATACTTGGGCTGATTTGATCTTCAAGTATGCGTGTGCTTGAATTCTCCAAGAAGTATGTCCTTCCCTTACCTTGGATTGCGATCCTGCTCCATATTCAATCCTCCCTCTTCGGAATTGTTAGATTGCTCTGGGTAGATGGTCGAGGTGAAACCTACTTGAATGCCAAATGCTTCCCGACCTGGAGCCAAGTGCGCAAGGATCGATGTTGGCTTTGCATCACTCTGTTCACCGAGAGCCTCTTCAAGAGTCACTCTCCAAATCAGTTCTGAAAAGTAAATGCATTGGTGTCCTACACAGTTCTTGGCTCTAGCCGGAAAGAACTCTCTCTCTCTCTCTCTCTCCACTCCAAACAAAATAAAAGGTGCAAACAATAAAAACAGCAGTTGCACATCTGGTTGCACTTCAAGACCTCAAGGGTCAGTGTGGGTTCTTTTGGTCTGAGTTCTTGAAGAGCGAAGGAGGACATCGTTTGGGTGTGTATTTGTTGCTCAGCAGTGCAAGTTACAGTAAGTGACCGAGCTGCTACATATGATATGGGTCTTCCATTTTCCACCCACATAAAAGATCAGGGCTTATCAAAGCTCGTGCACTACAAGTACCAGTTTGGGATTTCTTGCGAATAGCTGTGGCATTGGCCTGTCTGAACAGTTCTGCATGTTTGTCCGACTGGCCTCCACTACAAGTAGCTGCCCACCTATATAATTAATGTGTATAAATGTATAACTAAAAAACATAATACATATAACCGATATAACTATATCTTATAATGCAATATATAGTAATATTACATAACGACCAGTTGTCAACAAACATAAATCCCTGGTACCCTTTCGGGTCCAAAGAAGCAACACAAAAAAACTCAAAAACGAGGGAGTCTGCCAGGAGTTCCAACAGGTTGCTGCGTGGAACCCCAAAAACGATTGTGAACCCAGCAGTGGACTCCAACCTACTAGCGCTGGCCTCCAACCCACTAGGGATGGCCTCCAACCAACCCCTTTACCGTATAAAAACATCTAAAAACCACTTTGACAAAGCTTCTGTTCTAGTCTGTTTGGTGAATGGTAGTGAAAACGGCCACTGCTAGCTTTCATCCCGGTGAACCACCGACGTACCTTTTCAATCCTTTTCACTGGATTTCTCGCAGCATCGATCTGGTCACCTGCAAAGCAGTCTTGGGTCACTGGTCGTTTGGACCTCGAAAGAACCCCAAATTGGTTGGTGATTGGTGATGAGTGTGATAAGGCTTTCTAAGTTGAGTGAACTGAACTCAAAACAAAGTGCTATTAGTTCGTCATATGCATCTTCTTGTTCCACTCCCAAGGTCGCTTGCGTTCATGACGCATGTAACGGTAAACAAGACTAGTGGGACGAAAAACATATTTTGTCCAAAACAAAGAACCTTAAGAGCATTGGAAGCATTAGCTTAGGATTGACAAAACAAACACACATGTTACACTGCAGTTTCACCCACTGAAGGCCCAAAAGAACTTTGTTTGAAACGCAGAATGTGGCATCAATATGCATCAATCGTTTTTGGTCATGCTCTCGGCGTGACAACTTAAATCTATGTGTTTTGACGCAAAGAAACATCTGTGGCATCCATTCCATCTCGGCACCTCAAGGTTCGTCACACTTGGTACAGCCCATTTCGCAGTCTCTGTCCACTGCCTCTGTCCGGTTCTTAAAACATCGGTTTCAGCTTCCACTTCACATGTTTGTCGTCCCTCCCCATGTGTCCCAAGGACACGTGAGGTTCCAGTGAGTCAAGGGGTGAGTTTTCCACGGGATCCAGTGCATACGAGTCTCGTAGACCATTCAGGGTCATCCTGAGGGCTAACCTTCCATTATTGATAGGAGGCAGTGTCAAGACTATATAAGTTTATAAGTTGCAATCGGTTTAAATTTATCAGTCGTTTGCCATGCAAACGAGTTTTATTAAGTGTGATTGCGTCTCCTGGGTTTCACTCACAAACCTGAAAGTGGACTGACATTACCAGAACAAACCTGAAAAAACAAACACCCACAAAATCACCGACATACACACACATATATACACACACGCAGCCGCACTTAGAATAAAGCTCGGATGGATCCCAATCCAGAGTCATGCAGTCAATCACTAACCCTTTACATTTACTGCAATAGACCTTGGCTGAAAGAACGGGATGGCAAAAAAATACGAAAACCATATGGTCGGTTCAACCTCGGGTGAAAAAGAAATGGAGCTAATATGAGCTAATCAAAGGGTGAACCGTGTGAAGGTACGTTGACACGGGTCCCAAAGGAGGTCTTGGTTTGCTAACCCTTCTCCGGCACCCCAGTGGCCCCCTGCTGGTTTACATGACTTAGAGTTGCAAGGATCGAAAAAGTAAAGAAGGGGTGTGAAGTATCTTGGAAGCGGATACGCACACAAACACTTGAGATGAAGCCGGGTATGAGCACAGTCCTTCGAGATACAGGGAAATGCATTCAAATGCCGCAATAGCACTTTACTGCAATAGCCCATTTAGTGCAAACGCGGCATGAGACAGTTTTTGTCTTTACTTGGGTTCAAACAAGGTAAAAAAAGGCCGGTGCACGGAGATGATCAGTCTCGACTTGCCCGGAACATCTTCTATGCCACCTGTAGCGGGCCTGTGCCTGTGCCCCCTGCAAGAAAGGTGCCAAATCATGAACATCATGAAGGGTGCGGAGAAATCGACCTAGCCGTAAAGAACATGCTGGTGTTGCAGCGACACAGAGCATGGTAGCCTGAAAGTGTCCTCGCGGTCCTCGCGCTCATGTAAAGATCGCTTCATATCGATTTGCCTCCCGACATTGTTCCTGGTTTTTGTGGAGGCGCTGGAGGATGTGGATGTGCCTGAATTGTTTGGGGGTATGCATGTGCTTGTTGTCGTGCTTGAGGATGTGGAGCTCGATATTGTAGTGGATGTCAGGGTATGTGTACTCAGTGTACTCCTTCGTCTGGCGCGCGAATACACGTGATCACTTGCTTGAGCTCAGACGTCTGGCGGCCAACACCTGACCACAGGACCAATTTTCTTACAATCCCACTGTAAACAGGACAAATAGCAACCTTTATTTGTAAAACGCAATGCTTTCAAGACGTCCGAAATGCTGTAGAGGTTATCGCCACGCACATCGCACCTTGGAAGAAAATGCGCGTTTCGCACGGGGTCGTTGCGGGAGACACGTCCAGCTGTACCGCAGGCAACTGATGACTGATGAGCATTGTTGTTGTCACAGGTTTGATCCGGTGCACCCTGTATTGCATGGACACTCACACACAAGCACATACGGCTGATGATTTGCCATCATAGCACACATCAGGTTGTCATGTAAAACAACACATCAGATTGCGAGGCTTTTGAAGAGGTATCGGCGTTAGTGATTCCCCTATCATATACCTTCAAATTCCCTTAGCAAATCCAACGCGCTCCTACAAAACATGTCTTCGCACCTTTCGACTCATATGCAGAAGCGACCCTCCCTCCGGCGACGTGCCTTCACGGCAAAGGTAGCCTTCAAGATCTCCTCCTGGGACAAGTCCCATGCCTGGCGTGCGAATTGGCGTGAACGGCATGGCATGACTGACCCCCCCCAAAAAAACATATGAATTATACTATATAGTGACGTGATGTGACGCATAGTTGACCGGTGGGATACAGTTTTTACATATGCTCCGACTCCCACATAATGTATTCCAGTGGGCGACTGGTTGGTAACCATTCAGAATGACCACATAGCCCATGGAATTTAAGACTTTCAAACAAATGCTGACCCACAACATGTTGAACAAGTAAGCACCGAGGAGGTATTTGACATATCGCATCTTATGGCCTTTTGCAGCCTTGTGCCAGTGCTTCTACCCAGTGTTGAGGGGATCTCAGTTTGTGTTGATCCTCTGTAGGTAGGACTTTCTTTCTCTCGTCGAAAGCCTCCCCGAGCAGGCTCCCAAAATTCTCGGACGGACCCTTCATGTCGTCGAGGTGTAGGTAGACCCTCCGGAAGAAAGCCAGTTACTTCACACTTGTTTTCTTGGGGGGCCTTCAATAGATACGTCTTTCCCGCTAGAACGATGTTACGGAACAGACATGTTTCTCTACCTGGATCTATCTATCATGCTAGTTGGTGTCTTGCCCAGCCACAAAATCTCTTTTCTTTGGGGGGGGGCAGGGAGGATCTCTCTAGAATAGAGGTCCTTCAGGACATCAATGACGAGGTGCTTGAGACTCGAACAGAATATCCATCATCTTCTCGATGTCCTGTCCGATCCTCAGCACTCTTTTGGAGCAGAGGACTCAGTTCTGATATCCCATGGAGCTCAGTCCTGGGATAGCAACTACCCTGTCCCGTGTGATGGTGGGGTCTGGTAGGGTAGTCCTGCATTGTGTGGAGGTTGTCCCCCCCTTGGGAAATCACGCGGTTGCCGCCATGGACCTTGGAGCTGCTTCTGCTTTGGGGTGATTGTTGTGCAAACTCACAAGACTATACTGGTACAGTAATGTGAAGCAATAGCAACATAGGTATTCCAAAAGTTCCAAACAAAACAGTTGGCTTCGACATCTTACGTGATACTTTTGTTTGTACCGACACGGAACACTACCAGTAGTTCAATGCCATGTAATGACATGTGACACTATTCAAATCTCTGCATGCATAGGGAATTGCTGAGACCAAGAAAACCCTGGGCACCCCATGTGCGGATGAATCTTGGAAAAGCCTTGAAGACTCCCAGTAAGCTGAAGACTCTGCTTTGTGGAAAAACATACTTGTTCCGTTTTGGACGAATCGCTTCATCAGCCTTCACGACCGTCGTTCGGTTTCTGCGGAACCGGAACGCCGGCCGGAACGTCGGCCCCCCTTCACCGGATTCCAACGGGGTCGGACAGGATCCGGAGGATGATCAGTGCCGAGTTGTAGTGCGAATCTGGAAATCTGGGTTCCGCTAAGATAGGATCCACCAGACCGGGCGTTTCTTCCAACTTTTGTGGGCCAGAAGAAGGCGCCATGATCCGCAGCCTGGATCCTCAGCCATCTCTGTTCGGTGCTTTGTCTTGGGGGGATAGAACTTGAGTGTCCATTTCCGATCTTCTGAGAAACTGCTTGGGTTGATAGGGATAAGAAAACTTTGGAAAACTAGCCTCCCTGAAACAATCATGGAAGAGGAATACAGCCTGTTCCAGAGGCAAACAATCTTGCCTTGCAAGGGGCGATGTTCCACGAGGGTAAATGAAGAACACATACACCACAAAGCTTGCCTGGCACCTCTGAGAGCTCTGGCAGTTTGGATGCCTTCCGCAGCTGGCGCCCATCCGGCCAAGCAGCAGTCGCTTCTCCAAGAGCGTGAAGATGGCGACAGCCAGCTTGACAAAGACCTCCACCAGTCGAACCAGGAAGGTTGAAGGTTTGACCTCCCTTGGCAGTACTGGTGGTGAGTGCCCGTACCCACTGGTTGGCTGACAGAGATATTGATGTTTGGGATGTTTTTTCACAACACTCGCGGATGTTGATGGGGGAAGAGAAGGATGTTGAGAACTGCTTGGCGAAAAAACATAATGCATTGCTGATTTCTCCGAGTCAAGACTCCAATCACAGCGAAGTTGCCAATATCTCCCTGCTTATTGAGCTTTCGCGCCTTCGAACTGGAAGCAGGTGGTGGCCGCCGGAATTGTCCCGTCGACCCTTTTTCCGGCTCCGAATCCAAAACCCGCCACGCAAATTGCGCAGTGAGCATCTCATCAAGTATCAAAGAACATCTTCATTCATCTTAACTCATTTTTGCCTGTTCTCAAAAAGTAGTGCCCCATGCACAGCAAGGCCCCAGGTGGCTCGAGTCAAGCAACGGCGGCGGAGTTTCAGGGACCGAATTCAGCCGGGGCACCGATCACTCTGCACCCGTTTTTATTTAGATCGAAGGAATCTCATTTTATGAGTCATAAGGAAATCAAGCGCGCTCTCCACTAACACCCACAGCCCCTGTGCCAGAATCAGTCTGCCTTGAAAGACCTCTCGAAAATGAAGTGATCCTTGGTCCAGATCGGTGCAGCTAGCCGGATCCCAAACCATCACCATCCAGCTGGCAGGCCACTTTCACTTTCACTTACTTTTTTGCGAAGATCGGTGCAGGCTTGAAAGGGTCATGGTATTCTTTCTTTGCAGTAAGGAGTGGAGACTGATACAAAGTCCACATTGGTGTTGTGGGATATATGATACTTGAGAGGAGGGAGACACGAAAGGTAGGACAGCGGGAAGAGAAGAGAACGCGAGAGGCAGGAACAAAAATGCAATGTTCGACATGGTGATTTATCCCCTCGGAGGCGACCTTTCGTAAATATAATTTCATACGCACTCTCTAAATGTTCAAACATATGCTCTCGAAATGTTCAAAAGATTCTTAGGAAAACAACCTTGCCCCATGGCTCAGATCATCGGTGAGCATTAAATCGGAGCATCATAGGATTTGAATTATCCTGAAACCATAAGAGGCTCACGAAGACGTTCCCAGGAGAGAATTGACGTGCTTCGCAAAACAAACTCTAGGTATGTATCCCCTCGGGGAACACCTTTCGTGATTAGAATTTCATATGCACTCTTTCTGAATGTTCAAGAGGGTTTCAACTATTCTGAAATCATGAGAAGCTCACGAAGACGTTCTCCAGGAGAGAATTGAATTTAGTGGGGGGGAGGGGGGGGTCTGTATTGAAAAAATCAATTCCAAGGGGGCGGGGGGGGGGGTTGTATTGAAAAATCATTTGGAGGGGGGGGGTTTGAATTGAATGATCAATTATTAGACCCGGACGCGCCAACACTTGCTTCGCAAGACAAACTCAAGGTATCCCCTAAAGGGCTACCTTTCGTGATATGAATATCCAACTGGATTGCAGGTGGCTGGGGGTATCTACAGCTACTTTGGAAGGGTAAAACACATATGATGTCCATTAATGTCGATACTTGATAACAACCTCAAACAGTGACCAGCCTTTCTTGTCAAATGGGCCGCGGTCTGCCACTCCCCAGAAAGCAATGTGACGTTCCCATGTATGACTTTGAAGGGTAAATGGCCTTTCAGTAACTAGCTAGCTTGTGGCATGTCCGTTCTCATGTTTTTCCAACTCTGAAATCCGACCACGTGGTACCATCATGTGACCATGTGTGTCTATAGTTGAAGATGTTGTCTTAGAGTGTGACCTGATGCATCATGCGGCAAGTTTTGAAACACATATCTTACTCAACATCTGCAATGTCACGAATTATGTCGTGTCACTTAGCTCTGCATAGTGCTTCACGGGGATTTGTCTTGTCTGTTGTTAATCGTAGGTGCTCCTACTTATTAATACGTCAGCTGCTTAGAGGCATCATTTGCTTGATCTCGTTGAGCGTTCCAAGTTTAGCCATTCTACGTCATGGCTATGGCTGAACAAAATTGGACATCATGCTATGCCATCAACACCCCAGAGTAAAACCAAGCTTGGCTCTTTTCACCTGTGGTCACTTTTGCTCCCTGGATGTTTTTGTTATTTGAGCCAAATCCAAGTTCCTGTTAAAACGAAAACAACTGCATTGCAAATTGTTCAAAAGCCAAGTGGCCATGATCCGAAGCTGTGTCTCTGCCTTCAAGCAACTCTGAAAAAAGACCTGACGGTCAGGACGGGCTAGGTCGACCGATCTAGCACCGATTCCCAACATGAAAAAAATAACATCCTGTCTCCCTCAAAAAAACCTGGGAGACAAACTCTCTGTTGTACATTCCGAAGCAAACTCGTGTTGGTGTCTCTAGCTGCCGCGTCAGCTACATCATCCAAAGAAATTGCATCGTGGGGCACTCTCTTCATGTCCAGGGAGGTGTCCATCAAAATCAGGCTTTCTCGGAATGAGGGGACCCCTTTCTTGAGGGGGCGCGCGCACACAAATAACATCATATTATATATATAATTTGTAAAATTGTGGTTGATTCCGAGTTGTTTCAATGCAATGAGTTTTCCTAAGCAACTCAACTTTCTCTGGCCTGGTCTTCCAAGAGTGTGTGTGAAGATAGCCAAGGACAACTTCAATAACCGGACTCACTCTCTCTCCCTCTCTCCCCCTCTCTCTCTCCCTCCCTGTGCTCCCTCAAACACTTTTCCTTAAGAAAACAATCTAATTGGTCACGCGCGGCTGTCACTGACCCTCCAAATGTTCACTTCACTTCGGTACATAGAAAACAACTAAGCAGCAGCAGCTTCAGAAGACGCCGAACACACACGTCTCCGCACCGCGCCCCACCTTGAAGCCATGCGCAGAAGAAGAGCTCCGGTGCCAGACCTTCGCCCATGAAGTGGCGAAACCTCCGATGGCGCACGGCGCGTGTTTCCGATGGCGTTCCGAGGCGAGACCGAGCAGGGCCGGGTGTCCAAGCGGATGGATGTTGATGGATATATGGATACAGGGGGATGGATGGATGGGAAATTGGCTGTTGGTAGTCTCAAGCATCAAGTCTAGTGAGTGGTGAGTCATACTATCGTTGATCGTTCTGACGATAATGAAAGCACTTATGTCTTTAACCGCACAAATGTTGATTGATAATTGATCATCAGTGCTGGCATGACAATTATCCGACCTCTAGCTGCTTCACGACGGCACTGCCTGCGTAGGAACCCCTTTCTCGACGTCTGCAAGGCAGTGGGCAGTTCCATCATAATCCTCTTGATGTACTATTTCCAAGCCTAGAACAAGTAATTACAGCATCTGCCTGCTTTGTTTCCCTTGCCGTATGCCACAAAATTAAGGCCCTCTTGGCTCAAATCCCAGAGGCCTTTCCGGCCCAAGAAGGACATCACCACGTTTGAACCCCGCAGGCCCCGCAGGAATAGGGAGACCTCTCAGTTCGACCGACCACAACTCGATTGGGCCAGGGATTTTCTTAAAATACCAAGCCATATGCGCCATATGTCAAGCATTCCTTTCTTCGCAGCAGCTTGGCTGCGAAGAAAACCCGCTGCCGTCCAAGGTCAGGGGCCCAATCAAGCGTGAAACGAGTTCCAACCCTTTGGGTCTCAAATTGAACATCTCCTTGACGTACAGTACAGTTGGCTCAAACTATATAAATGAGGCACAACCCAGGTTCTTCTAGAATCTGAAGTCACTGAAGCTCTCTGCTGTTGGCAGGCAGCTTTCACACTGAGAAAAGAAGCACCAGCATGCGCCAGCAATGCTAACGAAAACACAAATCACCACCCCAAAAAGACCAAAAGAAAGATCTTTCCCTAGGGATCCAAGTACCTTCTCAGAAGGTGATTGGAGACGCTATGAGACACTGTAATGTCGGTTTGGAACTTGGATCCCTAGGGTTTATAACCGGGTTGACTCTCCACATGTGTTCCTTGGTGTCCATCGTAGCGGGTTTCCTCCGCACGTTTTTCACTGTTTTTCTGGGTCCGGCGGACAGATTGGGCAGTTGCGCGGCAATGATCACCTCACCGTTGCGGTGCACGGTCCGAGTGGCGGTGCACGGCCCCGGCGGGGGCCGGACCCGGTTTTCCTCTGGAGGGGTTGGGAAGCTCAAATCACGGTTTTCCTCGGGACCGGTGGGTCTGCTTGGAGTGTTTGGCTGGCTACGGTGACCATTGAAATGATACGAGCTCGGGGACTACATTGAGTTTGGGAGAGCCGACTACAATTTGTTGGTTCACTTTAATTTAGAATCACCACGAATAGTCAAGGAAAGTCTCATGCAGCTGCTTTATTTAGACTAAATCAAGTAATTATATGACACACCACTGGTGATTGAGAAGTCTCATCTTTTCACTGAATCGCCAAGTCGCCTAACCTGGGTCGGTTCCCAACGAATGAAGCATGCACATTCTTGCATGGAAGGTTCATTTTGCTTGGAAGAGGAATCTTATCGTCTGCGCATTGGGCGAGAGAATCACAGTGACGCGTCTCCGCATAGCAGCTGTTTTTAAAGTCCAAGAGACATTCCTAGTGGTTTATGTATATTTTTTAAATATCTATATGTGTATATATGTATACTAATCATTACTAATAGCTAACACACTATTTACCGTTATTTCACTGTGTTTGATAGTCCGAGGAGTCCGAAGCACCAAAAAGAGGGAAAACCATACAACTGGAAAATGATGATCTGCAGAAAGTGGATCCATCCAGGTTTGCATCGACGGCTTTTAGGCTCTTTCAACGAAGTGAGTGTGGGCCATAGGATGGAAGGATCCAAAACCACCATTGATGTTTCTTTAAATGTGATGAAGCGAACATGTGATTAGTTAATGCAATGGACAGGGCATGAACAGAAATTGAAAGGATTGAAAGGAACTTGAAGGAACATGAATTTAATGGATCTTAAACTATATTATACTATACGTATATACTATATGATACATGCAGTGTCTGGGATTCTATTTCCTCTGAACATGATCTGCTGAGATTGCTGAGTCGCGAATGAAATGTGTGGGGGTAATCTGGATTTTCCCATGTACAAGTGGGTGGTCGATTTCTTTGACACAACATGTGGATTTGCGTTTCACCACAGGTTTCTTTTCAGAATGCTGTTTTCAATAACACCTCGCTATTTGCAGCATGTTCTGTACCTCACAAATATGTTGCGCGTCATGATGATGCAGCAATGATCACGATGCTCTGTTGAACAAAGTGCGTGGTAATGTGCACAAGTGTGCGGACATGCGCTGACCTAAATATCCTAAATGACCAATGTCTAAAAAAAGAGGCAAGCAGACGAAAAAAGGGAAAGAGAAAGACATAAAGCGGATCATCTGACCGGCTTTTCAGTGGGAGCAGCTGGGGGAATCAGCAATTGCATGAGCCAGTGGCCACAGCTTTTTGACAACGCAAGCGTTCAAACCCCCACCATTGAAAGAACACCTTCGCAAAAATACCGATAACCCCCCTACTAGTATGAAAACAGGGTTATTCCGTAGTTGGAGTCCCAGCATCTCAAGCTTGCCTACAAATACACTCGACCGGAGTGCGGGTCAGCTCGCTCAACTTCACCAGTCCCTGCCTGGAAGTAGCGACATTGCATGACCAACCAAGGCCTCGCTGGACACGTCTCGCTGTGAGAAACTCGAGCACTGCGAGACGCGAGTCCCGGAAAAGCTTAAAAAACAACCGCTGTTTCGAAACAGGAGTTGCAATCATTGGGACTCAGACGACATAAATGGGGTCACAAAGCTGATGCGGTGCATCTGTTTAATATGACATTGCATTTGTCTGACGGCTTCCTTTTTGAAAAGGAATAAGGAAAGCTGGATCTCCCACCCAGCCACTCCTCTCTCTGGATGTTTCCAACATTCCCCAACATCTGCAGCAACATCAACAAAGGACACAACACCACTGGTGACGCTGGTGTCGACATGTCGTCATGAGCATCCGAAGCATTAACACATGTCACAGTCCAGCTCAGTCCAGCTCAGTCTCTGATCATCTCTTCGATGTCTCGAAGTCTCAAGCGGCACTGAATGGTCAGCGCAAGCGCCGCAAGCGCCTTGCGAAACGACACCTTCCCAAGAAGCCTCGCGAAGACTCCGAAGACCACCGGCCTGACCTCTGAACACCGAGCACCCCCCTGTGCTTCCCTCTAACATCCAACATCCAACATCCAATCCAACATCCATTCATCCATCCATCCATCCATCCATCCATCCAACATGGCTCTTTTAGAAATCCATCCCGGCCATCTTCCATCCTAAGGCTCCGGCAGGGCAGCGTCAGACAGGAGCCACAGCCTGGCTGTCGAAGTGTGAGCATTCGAACATTCTGGGAGGTTCTGAGGAACGGGGCAAGCGAACGGAACGGGGCTCTCCAATGATGTCCTTTGGGGAATACCAAGTGCATGGTTGAATACCTAGGGCCAACTCTCCCCTCCATCAATCAACCAACTCACCGTATATAAAAGGCCATCAGTGGCGGCTCTTCTGTCAGGTGGTGGCTTTTTCAGTGGTTGGAGGTGGCTCCCGCCTTTTCCCTTGGGCTTCTCTTGGAAAACAAGAACGGGTCAAAGGATCTGTCTTGCCTTGGCGTGGGCCTACTCACAACAAACACAAGGGGGCTGAGTAGAAGGGTCTTCTGATAGTCCAGTGCCTCAGAACCATCATACTTGCTCTTCACATTGACGTGCTGAAGTTGGAATTGCCCGTGGCCTATATTCAGAGATATGAACATCTAGTACCAGGCAAAGGTAAAATTCACCATCCAATCTGCCAGTTTGGGTGACCAGTGACGTTCTCTGGACGAAGAAGGGCATCCATCTGTCGCACGTCTCCAAGTTCTGGTCTGAATTCGGTCCGAAGTCAACACAGAAATTGTTTGTATGAAGGCAAACTGCATGTGAAAATGTGGTGTGATTTTGGCTGTATGATTCATGATGTTGTCTATGTTCAGCTTGAAAGCTTGGATCAACTTTGACCTGATTCGTTCCTTCAGATGAGAGGTCAACCCTGGTTGGAAGTGCACGGCCGGGCGGCCAACCAATCTAGGGCTTCTCTGGGCTGCTAGCAAAGCGGGGGCAAAAGCCCAAAACAAGATGAAGTGATGGAGGCCACGAGCGCGAATGAACACACGTGTGCAAGCACAAACGGCCAAATCTTGCTGAATTATATTACTGTGCTTACTACTGCTTACTTGACACTCTTCCAAAACACTCTTGAAGGACATTCTGGGTGTTGTGGCACTCGTGCTTGACACTCCTGTGGGAGACTTTTGCGCGACTTGGGACACTCTTGTGTGCCGGGCACTCTTGCAGGACACTCTTGCGGGACACGCTTGTAGGACACAATTTGCGCAACACTTGCCTCACACTCTTTTGCGACGGATCTTGCACTGTTGTGGGGCACTCTGATCTCTTGTCTTCGGACGCTCTTGTCGGACACTCTTGCGAGACACTCTTGTGGGACACTCTTGCTTGACACTCTTGCGAGACATTTTGGTTTGACACTCTTGCGGGGCAGTCTTGTAGGACAGTCTTGTGGGACAATCTTATGAAAAGCAACGTCACGCAAAGATACCCGAGAACTCCAGAGAATTATATACCCAAACCCCCAAAGATACCCGAGAACTCACTGAAGGTCGAGGTGATGGGTTTTGGTCCATGTTTTGGAGATCTTTACATACGCAACAAGCACTGAACGTCCGTACTCGACCCGACACCGATGGCTCGAAGCCCCGCCTTTGGCAATGCCATGGCTCTTGCAACAAGCGATCCACGATGAGTGCTGCAGCTGAGTCCCTGGATGGCGCGATGGCGATGGCGCCGATCACAATCACGGGTTGAAGGATACCAATCCGGCGACCAATCCGGCGGCCGGGTCGTGGACTCTGGAACATCCTTTAGACTTCACCACACTGTGGGCAAAGCTGTATGGGGATTTGCTGTCCAGGAACCAGGAACGTCCCCAGAAGGGGATCTAGCCAGTTACTTTCGGGAAAATAGAATCACCGAATCCGCAACACCGGTGTGGGTATGTTGTCTAAGAAGTCCGTCATGTATCATTTTGGTAGAAGGAATCATAGACTGGATTGGATTAGATTAGATGTAGGAAGCCTACCCGAGCAAGTGGCCCACGATGGGAGCCAGCTACAGCCGGGGCAGTCCAGAATGCGAGTCCGACTGCACGTACAAATAGAGTTTCAGCTACATCAAATTCATATCTGCTCGCAAAAGCACTTGCAACCTATGTCTTACAGCAAGTCTTCTTCTGGGCCCCGCCTGGGTTCACTGCCTAAGGCATCCAAGAGCGCAAGCATAGAGGCACTGCTCACCTACATGACGTGTCGAAATAACAGGAAGCAGCCCTTGATTTGTGTTTTTCTATGAAAAGACTTGAAAAGTAGCTCTTCAAAAGAACGTTTTCAAAAACCAACAAGGGGGTTCCACATGCATGATTGCTGTATCTTCTTATGATATGCAATCTCCGAACTTGCAAAAGTTTTCAAACCACGGCTCGATCACTGCTAGGAAATTATCGACATGCAGGCAGGCAGCAAACTTTCAAATCTAATGTTTCTTTCCATCACAGGAGGTCAGATACAGAGCTTCCTGCAAATCTTAAACTTTCACTGGAAGCTGAGCAGCACCCCTCTCCTCTTCAAGGCAAAACGCCGATCTACAAATTTAATTTGTCGTCCTGGTATTTCATGACATGTTCCAGAGCATCTTCCATATCCAAAAACCATCTTCTATCTATCAAACTGAGGATCAATCCCCACCAACCCCCCGGTCCCCGTGCCCGCCACCCTCCACGCCACCGGCGTGCCGCCTCGAGGCCTGGGACTGTGCCGCCCAAGCCGCTGCAAAGACGGGAGAGGCTCAAGAGGTCGCTCCTGTCGGAAGGATCCGAGCGGAACGTTACGATCCGATGGGGATGAGGTATACCGGTATACCGTCCCGTCGGAAGCGAAAACACATTTCGAGTGAATGGATCTTGGACAGGAACATGCGATGCGCTGCTCGTACGCAATGAGGGTTTTAGAGTGGACCAAAGAAAGACTGGATGGGTGTAAAAGTCGATCTCAAAAGCTATGACGTTCCCAGCTATATGCATCATAGAAAGTGAATCACAAGATGAAACCGCAAGGAAACATCCCCCCCACCAAATAGCAAAGTAAGCCTTGTGTTGGGTTTATTAATCCGGTGTCTAGAACAGTAACATTAAATTATACAAGGTGCGTTTCCTTTCAACAAACAAATCCCATATCGAACAGTTCTCACGCTTCACAACCTTTGACGATAAAATAACAACTGTCATCGAACGCGTTTTCTTCCTCAGTCCCCATCGACGATTCCCAGCGAAGCCTGAGAATTAACCAAGTCGCCGAGTTTTTCGCCAAGTCTCAGTCGATAGGATGTGGGCTTGAGAGGTGAATTCTGTGTAGAACAACTCAATTATAATTGGGTCCTCATAGCCTGTCTTCGGCAGATCAGCGTTGCATGAAGCCGATGCACGTAGATGGCGTCTATAGATGCGAGTAGATTTGTGCCAACCTTGCTGTGGTGGTGATCATAGGAATGCCTTCTTCGTGATCCCACATTTCTCCTGAGAGATCCCGAGAGCCGACTTGTTCGTTCACCGGTGCTCTTGGACGATGCGTACAGCAATCTGGAATCGAACTCTCTTGGTCCTTCGTGGCTGCCACAGTACACAGACCTCCTTGGTGTGATACCTTGATGAGTGAAGTTGATCTTCTCCATCGCCCGTCGATGCTTGTCACTTCATTCAAGATGCAGTCATAGCTCGTCACGACGCCCCAGTGTATCCTCGATCAAACGCCGGGCCGTCCGGTTGAAAAGCGGCCTAAGCCATGCTAAGCTGCGCTGGCTGCTGCGTAGTCTAGCTCTGTTCAACCAAATGCTCCACTGGTATCGCTGGGAAGATCCGCTGCCTGACTTGACCTGGAAACCGTTCCCATGCCATGCCAGGACTCAGAGTCACTCCAACTCTTTGGATTTCCTTTTCTTTTGGCCCGCTCCGACTCATATAAATACGTACAAGTAGGCGCCTACTTGATTCAGCAAGGGAGGAGTAAGCTACTAGCAATAGGAAGCTCCTAGCTAGGACGCAGGATAGCTCACGCACTAATGACTTGGTTCCGAGACTTTTAGGGAAACTTGACTTTCTGAATCATAAGAGATTGCTCTTGTTGAATCACATGCTTTTTGCAAAGCACAACCGACCTGCCCTGTTGAGCAAAGTTCACCAATCATCCACCCGCTTGGGCATCTGCCGGTTGGTAACAAACCACCCCATCAACTCTGCCCAGCTTGAAGGCCTCAAGGTAGAAGTAAGATTCCTTTGGTCTTTGGATGTCTTTGGTGGTGTGTGTTCTCCCCGGAGAACCTGTGCATGTTTTCATCTGGTTAAAAAATAAAAAGCAAAAAGGATGCAAAGTTTAGCATGGTGTATGTAGGAAAGGTAGGAGTGTGTCAGTTTTGTCTTGACAGATCCCACATAATCCCTGCAGCCCACGACCCCCGCGGCTTGCCATCCTAACAGCGGCTCCCAGCAAGATCTCCTGCCATGGTTAAGGCCAAAAAGGGGGGAGGGCATTCGGTTTCGAAAATATGCACCTGTGTAAAGGGATGAAGAGAATCTAATTTCTACCAAGGCTCGAATCAAACAGGTGATTCTTCAAGTCGGCTGTTCAAGACTGAACACGGATATGAACGTCCGGACTTCTTTAAATAAACGTTTGGAATTAGGGTTGTTTTTCGTTTCCGGCTCCCATGATCTAGCCCTCTGAGAACCTTCGAACGGAGGTTCAAGAATTATGAGGATGGCCTAATTCAGGCCGCACTGTGCTGTTTAGAATGCGTTTAGAATTTCATAGAATTTCCACATGGCTGAATTCAGCCAGTTCAGCACTGTGTTGGATCCCCGGCGCCTCCGGGGTCTCCGAACGCTTGGTCTCCGAACGCTTCGTTCGGGCCTCGCTCCGACGATCTGACGGGATCAAACGGGATCAGTTAGGTGTATTTGGGATCCCCCGGTGTGATGAAGCCACCAAAGAACTACTGTACAACCCGTAGTGTTTGATGAATCAACCCGGTGTGATGAAGCCACGATTCGCCACTGAACAACTCCCTAGTGAAGTGAACTGTAGTGATGTCCGTGGGGGGAGGTACAGGTACATCCCACTGCAAAGGCTGGTTCAAGAAAATCACCTGGACCTCGTCCTTGGCAATCCTTTTCAAAAAGAATGAGTTCTTGAGACTGGTTTCGACCTGTTTTCCACAGAGCTGGAGAGTCTCAAACTTCCTTCAAAGCATCCAGTAAGAGACGCAGAACCTCAGGGTTGCCCTTCTTCGCTTCCACCTCCAAAGCCAGTTCCTGATATGTTGCCTTCTCATGGTCAGCTCGCTGCTCAAGAAGGAGCTGCACAAGTGCTGGGTGGCCACCATGAGCTGCGATCTCGAGAGCTGTCCCGTCTTTACAGACCTTCTGTCGGTCAGCTTTAGCCAGAAGTAAGAGTTGCACCACTTGTCCATGACCCACAGAAGCTGCCCAATGCAACGCCGTGGCCCCTTCTCTGTCAACCTGATCCTTGTCAGCTCCAGCCTGAAGCAAACACGCCACCACATCAGCACGGTCATGCTGCGCAGCCACATGTAAAGCTGTGGCCTCGACCCCGCTCTTCCGGACCTCGAGGTTGACACGAGCCTCGAGCAAGATCTGCACGATCTCCAGGCGCCCAGTTTGAACAGCGAGATGCAACGGAGTGTCTCCAGTCTCAGTGACCCCATCTTTGTCCGCTCCGGCCTCCAGCAAGAGCTCTACAACTTCTCGGTGTCCATTTCGAGCTGCCCGGTGCAAAGGGGTCTCTTGATGTTCTGTGACCTTGTGCGTGTCGGCCTTCGCCATGAGCAAGAGACGTGTGGCAACTGGGTATCCGGTACGAGCTGCCAAATGTAAAGCCGTACAACCAAAATGATCTTCCTGGTCCGTTGTTGCGCGAGCTTCAATCAGCAAACTGACACAATGCCACTGCCCATGAAGAGCCGCAGCATGCAACGCTGCCCGTCCGGACTCATCGGTGATGTCTGGAGCAAGGGGCTTTGAAAGTAGCGCTTCAACTTCCTCTTGGGCTCAGGAGTGAATATATATAAATAGACTCAAACTCCTTCGAACGACCCATGTTACACCAGTCACCGCGTTACCACCCCAAGGTTTTTTGAAACATTCCGTATCATAGAGTCCCTGGAAAGGGAGATTCACCAAAAGTGACAAAACATCAACTCCTCTATCTTGTTCTTGGCACTGGCAGAAATGAGCTTCTCACCTGCGAAAGCATGAAACAACAAGATCCAACACGGGAGCCAAAAGCCGCCCAAAGGCAGCTGCACCATGGATCTGGGGTCATTGATGGGAGGTGAAAGTCTTGATATTCCCCCAAGAATCCGGCTTCAAATGGAAGGGGTTAGGGAGGGAGGGTCGAGTCCGACCCCTGCCATGGAGGGTCCGTGACTTGCCCCAGTGACCCCTCCACAGGTTCAGGTTGATCCATTGGGCGTTTTGGCCTTCTCCTTCTTCGGGTGGCACAAAGTCCAGCAGTACCACGTGCACCGTGGAAGGCGGCACAGCCTCATCATCCAACTGGGTGCCTTCACTGAGCCATCCTGGATGCAGTGCTGACTAAATTTGTGGGATAAGCTGCTTTTCACAAGTGGATCTGGGCAACACAGCAACCACCAGCATCCATCAGTGTAGACCGACCTGATCCTAGAGTCACTCCTAGAGTCTACAGCCTTTACATGCCCATTTCCAAGCAGCTATTGAATGAGTGGGAACATGAAGACAAGCATCTCTGTCGGAATCTGGAGGCTCCGATGTCCTTGGCCAGCTGGGTCTTGAGTGAGCGCACCGATTGATTTTCCACCTTCTCAGGCTCCACAATGAGGAGCGGTTCCCCGGACACCGCGGAGAGAGCGTGAAACATGATGAAACATGCGTGGTTGCCTCAGCAGAATCAAAACACCCAGTGAGACATGCCGGTTTGGCTTCAGAGTCATGCAAGAAGTGTTCAAAAAATGCGACATAATCAGAACTCTCACGCCGTCTCACGCCTGCTGTGCCTGCTCTGAACACATTTCTGCAAACATCTTGCTTTGAGCATTAAGGAGATGCGCGGGCAGCACTTGGACTTCCCTCTACTTGGTGACAAACCCCACTTCCTGCCCCCTCAACATGGCTTCTCGGAAAACACGGTCTTGGATAGTGTGGGGTTCCAAATCTTGTCATTGACCCATTGCCATCCCATGGGTCCCATGCCCACTCATGGTAGAAGGAGGTCAGGGTAGATGGATCTTACATATCTAAAGTCTAAAGGCTGGCATGCCACTTGTCGCCTGCGCATACCAGTCGACTATGCTATTGTTCGATTGGTATCTGAGTGCCCGTGCGGCCGCGGCAGCCATGAGTGCCTGGCAGCAAGACCCAAATGATTCATGATGATTCCAAGACGCGCTACCCCCTCAGGCTCCTCCACCTCTTCTGCTGTCCACAACTCTTAACACCTACCACCACGCGAAACTTTTATGATGTACAAAGTTGTGAGGCTCATTCTCAGTCATCTAAGAGCCATCTACCTCAGGGCATAGGTGGCCCAGGCCCAGAGGTCAAGTCGCCCAGGCCCAGAGGTACAACCGCACCCATTGCCATAGAGATGATCAAGCTTTTGCTGGAGGACACGCACTTCCTGCACAAGGCATGGGAGACTGGCCAAGAGAAGAGGATGTAAGCATGAAAAAGAGAACGCAAGGCTTGCTCCACGACAAGGAAGAAGGCAGTCATGATTGGCAAAGTGGAAGAGCCGACCGGTGCTGCAAGCTGCGGTCGACGCACACCACGTACAGTCAGTTGGTGACTCGTGAGTAGCAGGAGACACGTAGCTTGGCACGGGATGGGAAGCCGTTCCAAGGAGGGGGAGCTGCAAGAGAACAGATCCAAAGACAAGGAAGCAGCGTCCTTGTATGCAATTGTAAGATCTCATTCTTCGAGAGAAACCACATCACATGGTGTGCAAAGAGTGCAGAGCCATGCAGAGCCTACATGCTGCGAAAAAGGGGTTCAAGAGTCTACAAGTTCACAATCTTGGCAAGGAGTTGTCATGTGGGCTTTCGAGGGCAAAAAGCCTCTGACGTCAGAGGTGCCGCTGGCGCTTGCAATTCCTCAGGCGTCTCCGCAGTGGAAGGCGTCTCAGCAGTGGAAGACCTACACGATGTGAGAAAAGGGCAATCGTTAACGAGAGAAAAGCCGCACAAACCGCTGCCGAGGCAGACTTCCGGGCACCAAAAGGAGTCGAAGCAGACTTCTGGATAGCCAAAAGGCTTTCGCGGGAAAAAGTCGTCTACCTCAACGAACTAGTCTAACAACTACAGCTGTACCCAGGAAAACCATTGCTGTTTGGGAGACCCAGCATCAGTCACCCGTCCTGCACTGCGCTCGTATGGCAGCTGGCAAAATCCCAAACCAAAAAGCGGTGCCACTGGGGCAGCCAGCAGTGCCAATGAATATCGAGCTTTCCAGCTTCCGCGTGGAGTGGACGCAGAGTAGATGGCACAAACCCCATCATGCTCCCGATGGGTAGCTGAGGCAGTTCATCGAAGCACAAAAACAGCACGGGTTTTGGGCCATCTATTCTCCACCTTTGGACCTCGTATAGAAGTGCATGGTAGGCGCATTGCTGCATTGTACAATTTCTTCCGTCAACATCGAATCCGAATCGACTCTATTCTATAGATGATGTGCAGGGTCCGGCATCCAGAGATATCCAAAGTGGTAGTGGTCACTCAAAGAGAACATCTCCCACACAAAGAGAACATGAGTTCCGACTCGGATGTACCCGAAACAAACACTATGGAAAGTCAAACTGGCTCACTAGTACCCGAAACACACACTGACAGCTTATGCAAAGAACCTCCTCGCGCATAGAGGAACATAGACTTTCCCTGGAGTTGCGCTAGTCATGATGCTGCTCTGCGACACGATTATGATGTTATATAAGGCTGGAAAGGTATTTTCATAACACCTTCAATCAAGCCAAAGGCACTGCAGCATGTTTGCTGTCATCCTAGCCAGAGAACGGAGCGGCCAGGTCTCGAAATGGAAGATCAAAGGGGCTTGTTGGTGGTCTCTGTCGTGTTGCCAAAGAATAGCATATATAATACTACTGTTACCATATAACACTCTTTTGGAGGATTTGGAAGCAAACATGCTAGTAAAGTTGCGGCACCGTGGCCATATCCAACATTCCCAACAACTGTGCAGCACTCTCACAGTTTAATTTATTTGCTTTTCAAGTTTCCCTTGACATTCACCTGCCACAGAGCTGTTCAAGGGCCAGCACCACGGGTTAACAGGTCACCCGACTAATCTTTGACAAATTGCCATGCTGAAAAAGGCCGATCGACACGAAGCAAGGAAGATGCCATCCATAGTGCCAAAATCAAACGGCTGAGGACACCTTAAAGAACAAGTCGTGTTCTAAACGGGCAGCTTAAAAAAGAAACACACACACACAAATGAGCAGCAAAATTCAACAACAACAACAACAACAACAACAACAACAACAACAACAACAACAACATGATCAACATGAAAGCCAAGTCTTGGTTTACCACCATCCGTGTGCTTTCTCCCATGACCGAAGGACTCCTCTCCCAAGCACCACTGCCAAAAGCCGATGCCTGACAGGATGGTCAGGCCATGCATTGAAGCGGCGGTGTTGGAGCGACCGGGAGGAGGCCAGGAGAACCCAAAGGAAGACGAACATGGTAGAACAGTTTGGACCAAAAAAACACGAGGTCATTGTCTGTGTCATATTCACTGGCGGGGCCATACTTCTAGTGGCCAGGCAACTTCTTTTTAGGACGACATCTAGAATGTCACCTGACATACAGGCCACGAACCCAGTAAATCAGGCTGGCAAACCCAAGTCGCCCAAGGGTTTGATCCGTCAATCTCTTATTCACCAGGCGATTGACTATATCTCTGAACCCCCGAGCCGTTTCCGTGGAAAATAGAGGTTCTACATACATAACAATTTTGTCCGCCTGTTGGATTTGAATGGGGTGTCCCCAATCCCAAAAAAGCTTGGGCAAGTTAGGCAAGTTATATATCCACTCACTGAGCGGAGTGGGATCTGAGCACCATGATTTCGATGGAGGTTCCTGGTGTCTTCTTTTTCCTTCTATACACATCCCCTCTCCTTTTAGGCTCCCCCACGTTGTCGTGCCGAGAGGCTGCGTCCATGTCTTAGGACCTGCCGGATTGGAGGTCCAAGGCGTCCACCCGAGCTGCTCGGAGCGTCAGCCGTCTGGGTCCGGCCCACTGCAGACCCGGTCCCGCCGGCGTCTAAGCGAACCCCGACTGGGAGGACACCTCGTGATCAAGTCACACAGATTCAGTGTGCTAGGCGAGTCTGAAAACCCCCTGAAAACAAAAAAAACTGAACAGACATTGAAAGACCGTCGTGGGTCCCAAAGACGCCAGAAACGCCACAAACTCCCGGGTTGAATCATGACGACATAATTATACATAATTATGACGACCATGTCTTTGCCAACAATCCATGTATGCCAATGTATGCCGTATACGTGATTGAGTCATCCGGAGTCATATTCATGAGTCAACTCTTCCATGAAATTTTCGGGGTCTGGACTTACCACGCCCTCCAAACCCTACCAATCCCCATCGCTCACGTCGGCATCCCGACCCAACTCCAAAGCTGACGTGGCGAGCGTTGCGCCTGGGGCGAGCGGCATCGGGGCATGGCGATCTTTGACTTTCCACCATGATCCTAAGCTAGCATCCATGGAATCAGGAGATCGACCCAATTCTTGCCTGGGAAAAGAAAAATGAGACCCCAAATAGGTGAATCCCAAACAGACTCATCTTTCGGAAACCAACAGGTGCTCCCCCGGAATCCAATCGCACCGTTGCGATCCGTTGCGGTAGTCCTGTTATGTCCTGCAGTTCAATCAACGAGAGACCAAAGACCGAGGTGAGGAGAACATAGGCCGACGTGTGCAGACATCGGCCGGGCAGCTCGTCGGATTGCAGGTGTGGCAATCCGGCCTTCTTGTAGAGGTTACACTCACCTTTCGGCAGCTTGAGTTTTGTGAAAAGACTCGCCTTGGGCAACTTGGGCCTACTCTTCCTCCAGCTCCTTTCTTCTTCCGGAAGTCCGGGCAGTAAAGTCTTATGCATCAACTCCTGCTCAGCATGCTGCCTCATTGGCAACCTGGTCCAGCTTGGCAATGTGTTTTTCTTGCTTTGGCCCAGCGCATGCACATGCTTCACTGTTTCCTTGCTCTTCCCGTTGCATTCCCTATGAGCACGAAAGGTGAATGTGGACGCGGACATGGTATGTACAGTATATCATAGATCTATATAGATCTAAAATAGGTCAATCACGGTGAATCCAACCAGCTTTTGCCCCAACGAAATGCCTCTGACCATCATGACCCCAACACGGAAACCATTCCGGACCCAAATGTCCAGCCACTTAGGGTCCTCAAAAGCTGTTCTTCTCAGCCCCGACCGCTCATCACCGCTCCCGACCTTGGCGCCTACACACCGAGCGAGACGAGAGACTAGAGACCGGTACAAATCGACCCCGATGGCGAAGGCCAAGAGGTCTGAAAGGAGGGGACCAAAGAAACCATGTCCAAACATGTGAAAACACCACCAAAGGCTTCGAAAACACCGAGCACGATTGTCCATGTTGACCCTCCACATCCACGGACAGATCGATCAAGCAGGCCGCCATGTCAAGAAGAAGTTGTCGCCAACAAGAGCAGCTGCGGCCAGCAAAGGCCAAGGTCTGAGCCTACCAGGCTCAGGGCTCAAAAAATGGAATCAGGGATGGACTCATCGTCTGTTTTCCCAAACCAGCACTGAAGGCGATGCAAACCCTGTTTTCACGATTTAAAACGTAGCTGGTATGGCTAAATGAGCACGGACCTCATAGTCTATCATTCAATGCTTTTGGATCTTTTTGGCAGGTGCTGGCTCAATGTAGTTGGTACAACTCCCAAAATGCGAGGGTGTTTGCATCCCCGTTCTTACAGTCCTTACAACTCTCCGTGACCATGTGCCAACCTGAACCGATACATGTGTGAAGCGCGGCGATGATTTAATGTTTAGCGGTTCACTGTAACGAAAATCAAAGGAAACCACGCACAGCGATTCCAAGAACTTCATCCAAAAGGAATCACAACGACGAGCCCTGGAGTAAGCAAACCATAGCAAACCCACCTACGGCAAACTCACCTACGGCGGAGTTCTTCTAACAAGGATCCTCTGCGGAGAGGCGACCCACCTAAGGCAAACTCCGTGGTGACCTGTTGGAGTCTACGCAGTAAGGTGACTTGCTTGCGGTGCCGCTTCGCACGGCGTTCTCCCCCACATCCGAAGGGAAGGTAGTTAGACGTTGTCCGACCACCCCGGCGAGCACCCACCCCCCCTGCCCCACCGAAGCTTTTTGGTCCTGTTCCATCGGAGCCGGTTTTTCACCGCGCCTCCCCACAGAACAGCAAGACGCGGTAGAGGAGTCCTGGAGTCGGATGGAGTCGGATTCGACACTGCTTTTTGGAATCCTTTCGAGTCTTTGGAGAATTTTTTTTTGAAAAAACGCATCGAAGTGAAGCTCTTCGAAGTGAAGCTTTTTGAGGATCATGGTCCCATACCATACCTTATTCGGATGAGCTTTCTTGGACCAAGAACGAGTGACTTGTTTAGACACCCTGAAGAAACCGTTTAAACATGTTTAAACAGCACCATCGTCTTCCAGGGAGCAATAGTCACAATATGTCACAATCCTTTCACGTGTTGTTACGATAAATTACATCAAGTGACTAGGTTTCAGGGTCAACAAGGCACCAAAGATGAAGCCAAATTCTTGGATTCAAAGCATACTCATTAATGGCGAGCTCTGACCCCGCGTGTAAACGCAATAGTATCTGTCCCCTGATGTCCCCTGGTATAACCAACGACCGTTCAGCCAACAAGTCCGCTTTCAACAACGAATCCCGGCGCTTGGAAGTGAACAGCACCCTGGACTCGACCTCCAACTTTCCCACTCCAACCACCACGAACAGGTCCTCCAGGTCGCACACCAATCCGATCGTCGTCACACAAAGGGTACTTCGCTCACACTTCTCAAGAACTCTCAAGTTTAGATACGATACATGAAGATATATATACATGAAGCGCCGAAACCATCTGTGAAACCATCCGTCTTTACTCCATCAACCCCCCCACCGTTTGCTGCAGCGGCGCGCCTGGCTCCCGGGCAAAGAGATCCAACGAGGCCGTTTTGGCCCAGCGGCGGCCCAAGGGGCTGTCCACCTCGTGCGGTGGAGAAGCATGACCCTGCCGGGTCCAGGGGTGGAATCGCACTGTGCCGGTGCTTCCTTTTTGAATGCAGCACACTTCCCTTTGGGCCTGGTGTCTCTGGCAGAAGAACGCACCAGCCGTCACCAAGCGCGGTCGCCGCGAGCAGCACGCATCGATTTTCGCCAAGCAGGTCCGGTGCCACTCAGCCATACTCAGCCCATGAGGCAAATCGGGGCAGCATTAGGGTTGGCTTGATTTCCTGCAAACCGCAGCTTTTCACATGCTTTCCTGGAAAGTCAAGAACATGGTTGGAATCAAGAGTGGATGAATATGCAAGAATCTGTGGACTCTCTACAAGCAGTAAGTAGAGCTCCCGCCATCTATTGGTTGAAGGACTTATGTGCTACCTGGACAGCCAAATACGACACTGTTTCACTGCATCCATTGTTCTACGAATCCAGAAACTCCCTCGGCTTCAATGCCACAAGTCAAACCCTTCGAAGCTGCTTCTCCTGTTAATCATGACTTACAGTGCAAAATCCTGTTTCTGGGCCAGAACCGTTTTCCACTTGATCCGAGCGTGCCTGTGTTCCGGTTGTAGTAGATGTCGCTGTTGCTGAAGTGGAAGCAACCGGTGGGGTATCCAGCATAATTCCCCTCGGTGGAGAAGATTTCCCCCAAAGAGACCGCTGCCTGCGCGCGAGACTTTCCCTCGTCGCGGGGCCATCGGTGGTCAAAGGCGTTGCACACCCAGGGTGGAAAGATATGGAGGCTAGGTAGTTCTGAATTGGTCTCGACCGCCTCAACGGGTAGACAGGAACTTGTCTCAAAGAATGAGGGTGAAGGGTGAACGTCACTAGACTCAGCACTGTAAACCTGTCAATGCACACTACCTCAAAAAAGAAAAACACACAACGTTCGATGGTTGTTCCGGTTCCACTATGATCTTGGGTTTCTTTACTCACTAGACAATAACTCTAGACATCATTAAACATCATTAAACTATATAATTGCAGTAAGCTGCATAGTATGTGTAAGCAAATTGCATGCTGTTTGGTTGCTTAAGATGATGCTTCTTGTACCGTTCAGCATCCTTCAGCCTTTCTCAACCCCCACCAGTGGGTGCTTCTACAAGCACTCAGGGTCTGGTGCCTCTCGGCAATCCTCAGGGTCGTCGATGGGATTCCCAAAGCGACACACGTTGGTGTCGAAGTCACCCACGTCGAAGTTTTTGATCACCTCGGCTGGCGCTCGCTCCGTGGTTTTGGGCGAACTGGATCCGAGTGCTCTCGCGAATGAAGGGGGGCAAATGTGCGGAAAGCCTCCGCTGTAAGCGAACGAAACATTCAAAGGTTGACCGTTCACCACTTGTCTGTATTTGAGTATTTTTTGTCGGGAAACCAATGCAAAGATTATCCACTGGGTATGTCTTGGTCCGTGCTTGGGGCATGTGGATTGGGGGCGGAAGATTTCAGGCCTCTGCAGGATGCCTCTTGTGCAGGGATTTCTACATACTGTATCATAAAAAGACTCAATTATTATATCATTATTATCCGAGAGCACCTCAGGGTACTTGGATCCTGTAAACCTATATAATCCAGCACCTTTGACAAGGAGGCAATTGGAGGCACTTGGAGGTGTCATGAGTTCTGTCATGTGTCTCCCAGTCCATACATTTGCTTTTTGGGGGATATAAATATATGGTTCCGTGATGGTTTCGGCCGCGCGCGCTTTGACTAATTTTCTCAGACAGTCAGACAGTAGTTCCTAACTACAAGAAGTGCGCGCGCTTCAGTTGGGCAAGTTCCTGCTTGAGAAGTTCATTTTCATGCCGGAGACGATCGTTTTCTTCTTCAATGTCTTGATGCACATGTCTTGATGAACAGGTGCAGGAAGAGCAAGCATTGGAACACTGCCTTGGGAAGTTGATGCCGAGCGAGCACGACCATCTTTCTTGGTTTGTAACCAAGACATCAACGCCGTCTGGCATTGACTCGACCAAGCAGAACCTTGTGCCAGGGTTCCCTGGTTGACTGCGTTGCGTCTGATGGTGTTGATTTGGATCTGAATTTGCTTTTTGGTGACTGCCGCCCTGTCACTATGCACAGCAATGGTTCCATTGTGAATGTTTTCCACGATGTCAGCTGCATCAGGAAAAGAAGTAGGCTCTGAAGAAGCGCTTTGAGACACATTGCCCATGAGCTCCAAAGTAATGTGCTGTCGTTCCAAAGACAAGAAGCAACAGCAATAGTAGACCAAGAAAACTATTATATGTATGTGTTAATGCTAACAAGTGGAAATGTTTCAAAAGTGGCTGTCCGAAATCATCCCCTAGCCAAATATATATATATATATATTAGACCTGCAACCGAAAGGTAAATGGCCTTTCAGCAGCTGGTTTGGTGGGATTGGATGTGAACCTATTCTTTATCGTAAATATCGGGCTTCGAGGATTTTTCGATTGACCCTCAGCCACAAGGGAACCACAGCCACAGACAACAACACCAAGCCAGGCCAGACGCAGCTCGGGGGCCTCTTAACACCGCGGGGTGGCACGGTGCGGTCACCTGGCCAAGCCAGGTGGCAGGGTTCGTTTCGGTCTTGCACACAGGAGAGAAGCTGTTGTCAGCCTCAGCGCTCAGGCGCCAAGAAGTCAACACCCTGAAATGAACGGCAGGAAAATAACGGTTCACCTTTTTCAACCTGTTGGATGTGATTCTTTCAGTGGGGAAACCGCCCAAAAAGCTTGCGGCAGGTGATCCACTTGTTGGGTACCTCCGGTGTGCCTGTCAAGCCTCAAGGTGCCATTGGTATGATGGGACTACGTCGTCTGGGGAATGAAGAGGAGATGCCCCCAGTTCTTTGGAGTAGAGGAATTGATCCAGTTCTTGCACTGAAAAAGAGACTCTACTACCTATATATATATATATAAAATTTGCCTATACCTCATTGTCGCTCTAACCATGACTTCTGTGTGCGCGCGCATATCTGCAAAAAAACACAAAACTGTCTCACCCGCACTCTCTCTCTCTCTCTCGCTCGTGCTCGCTCTGCCTCTTTCTCTCCCTCCGTCATGCTGCTGCTCTGGCCACATCTCCTCGAGTCTTCGTGTCTCTGAAAGGATGCCGAGCAGCAGTTCCACCCTGGAAGTAATTGAAGAAGAGGGAGTCCGTGTTCACATTATACAAACAGCCGAACTGACGGTCGTGCGTTGAAACCTGGATCGAAGGGGGTCGATGGAACGAGTTACAGCTCATCGAGTTATGGCTGGCAGTGCTTTTTGCTCCTTGAGAGGTCCCTGTATTGCTCCTTCATTTTCAGGTGTGGTCAGAAGCTAGACACGTGAACACCCATCGGAAGGCACGTGGATGACCACAGGACACCCTTGATCCCGGAGGGCTCAACACCTTGTCCCCGTCGTGGGAGACACGAAGAAGTCCACTGTAATCAATCCCAGGGTTGCCCCAGGAAATGAGGCATATGGAAACGTCAGCCCAGGAGACTCAAGGAGCATATGGAAACATCCTTTTCCACTTAACTTCATGGTGTACGAATGTATACAATTGTCTTTTTCCGGTTGCAGCTTCAATTCAACGGCACAATGTTCGGGGTCACCTAGCCGCTACTTTGTCATCGTGTTCGCCCAAACCAAGGCACCCAGTTCGCGAAGCCAACCCCAACGGCACCTGGACAGGACTTTGGTTGGTAAATCCAAACCCCAAACAGTTTCCGCAAAGGACTGTTGGGGGAGCTGGTCGAATCTGGAAACGTCTTAGAACCACTGTTCAGGAGGAAACCTGACCTTTTGAGATCCCAGGATGTTCGGTCACTTAGGCCTGTAAAGCGCCACTTAGAGACTCCAAAGAGGTCACTTTGAAGGTCCTGGCGGTCCTGGTACTGGTATATATAATTATATAATATATATATATAGACACCCAAGAATCCTTGGACCCTCCATGGCACCGGACCCTCAAAACCCTTTCCATTTGAGGGTCCGAATTCTTATATAATGTATATATATATAATTATGGACTGCAACGCACTGCTTGGGAGTACCACCTGCTATTCTATTTATGGGTCTTCTGGGGTTGTGGTACAGATTGGATTCATTGACTTGAGGTATGCTGAACACGAAAGAAAGCCTGAAGCTTCCTTTGCTACAATAGACAGACCGTTCATTTCAATAAGCGCTCATTCAAACAAAAAGCGCTACAATAAAAAGATGCGGCCATTTTGCGCGCATTTTACGCGCAATTTGCTTGCATGATGCAGGTGCCCACCTTTGGCCCAACAAAACTTCAGTCTTCGGCATCTTTAAAACAACAAATAAACTCAACACCCTTCAAACCCGAAAACACGCACATGTCATCTACTCTATAGGTTTGCAAAAGATGTACTACAAAAGAATGTTCAGGAGTGGATCAGTTACCACGACGCGACTCCTGATCGACGGCTGAGAAATACTTTCATGGGCTACTGGTGCCTGGTGAGGAGTTCTCAGTGTTTCTTACTGTCCTCGATCCCTATGAGTTCGCTCCGCTCTATGATTCATGTCGAGTAACCAGTAGAAAGTTGAGAATCTGTGGGAACAAGCACAGCTTTTCATGACATGAATATAAACCAGTTCTTGCAGACTCAAAGAGCCCTCCGAACTCCTCCGGAGCTATCTTCAGACACTTTACTCGCTTGCCAGGACGCAGTTCGGACTCTCAGTTCAGAAGAGGTTATCGGTCAAATCTAAGTAATGTAGGCTGTTGATTACATTAAAATCCCTCGCATCCCGCTGGGGGGGGGCTACTCGTCAGCATCATGCAGCATTCAACAGCCAATAATACAGGTCACATGATTTATCTCTATCGGGTGGTGTTCGGAGCCTCAAACACCCCCCCATGAATGCGAACGGTGACGAATGAGGAATCACTGAAATCCTAGGTGACCTACAGGCAAATAACATCTTCCCAAGTTTAGGCTCAAATCCTACACAGGCTCCTTCCACTTCTCACCACATGGAA